GTCTGTCATTGAACTAAGAGCAGCAATTCAGGAGTACATTGTGAAGCAAAGAGTGCAAATTCATTACATAAAGAATGATAAGCAGAGGATAAGGGCAGATTGTGTTGGAGATTGTCCCTGGTTCTTATTTGCTGCACCTGACAGCAGGACCAAAGCATGGGTTGTGAAGAAGTATGTGGGTGAGCATACATGTGAAAGAGAGTGGGCACTCAAGCAATTTACAGCAAGATATTTGGCTGGCAAGTATGTGGAAACATTTAGAGCAGATGAGAAGATGACACTGCAAAACTTTGGCAGACTTGTTCAATTGGACTACAACATGCAACCTACTAGAAGTAAGCTAGCTAGAGCAAGGAGGATTGCACTAAAGATAATTCATGGAGATGAACTTGAGCAGTATAATTTACTGTGGGACTTTGCAGCTGAAATCAGAAGATCAAATCCTGGCAGTACCATTCTTGTGCATGCAAACAATGGAAAGTTTGATAACTGCTACATGTCCTTAGATGCATGCAAAAGGGGTTTTCTGCTAGCTTGTAGGCCCATTATATGCATTGATGGGTGTCACATTAAGAACAAGTATGGTGGAGTGATGCTGACAGCTGTTGGAGTTGATCCTAACGATTGTATCTTTCCCATTGCAATTGCCATAGTAGAAGTGGAAGATACTGTCACATGGAAGTGGTTTTTGAACACATTGAAGGAGGATCTGAACATACAAAACACAGCACCATGGACATTGATGAGTGATAGGTAGAAGGTAGTAAGAACATTGTAGCATTTCATACTGTAGCATTTCATATTATCATACTGTAGCATTTCATTTGTTTGTTCTACAATGTATGTAGGGCTTGATCAATGCTGTCAATGCAATGTTTCCTGATGCACAACATAGATTTTGTGTGAGGCATCTGCATCAAAACTTTGCAAAAAACTGGAAAGGTGATGTATTCAAGAATAAATTGTGGCAAATTGCAAGAGCTACACATGAGGCAGACTAGAAGAAGTACATGCAAGAGATGAAAGAGTTGGACCAGGGGGCCTATGAGTACTTGGATGCAATTGACCCAAGGCAGTGGTGCAAGGCCTATTTCCATGAACTCCCAAAGTGTGATTTGCTTCTTAACAACAGCTGTGAAGTGTTCAACAAGTAAGTTGTCAGTACTGTAGCATTTCAGCTGTGAAGTGATTTCATATTGTCAGTACTGTAGCATTATCTAACTGTAGTTATTTCATAGGTATATACTTGATGCCAGAGAAATGCCTATAGTTACTTGTCTTAAGAAGATCAAGGACCAATTAATGACTAGGTTTTATAGCAAGAATCTGGAATCTAAGGAGATGTGTGGTCAAATTTGTCCAAAAATTAGAAAAAAACTGGACAAAAATATTAACATGTCCAACAACTGCACTGCATTACCAGCTGGACAACACATATTTCATGTTAAAGGCATGGTTGGGGAGTATGATGTGAACATACAGAAGGAGGAGTGTTCTTGTAGGGCATGGCAGCTCTCTGGAATTCCATGTAGACATGGAGTTGCATGTTTAAGACATGAAAGAATTAAACCAGAGGATGTTGTCAACAAGTGCTACAGCATAGATGCTTTCAGAGCTGCTTATGGCAAGATCATAATGCCATGTAGTGATCCTAGAGTGTGGCCTAAAACTAATGGGCCTCAAATGCTGCCACCACACTATGAGAAGAAAGTTGGTAGGCCTGGAAAGAAGAGAAAGAAGAACCCACTAGAGGAGGACAATGGAACTAGGATGAGCAGACATGGCATTATTGGACACTGCAGTGTGTGCAATCAACCAGGACACAACAAAAGAAAGTGCCCTGAACTAGGTAGAGGACAACCAACAACAGCACATGAGGCAGGAGCAGAACAAGATCCAGCAGCAGAACAATATCCAGCAGCAGAAGAGGAAGCAGCAGAACATGTGCAAACAACAGAACATGTGCCAATTCAGGTTGTGCTTCCAGAAACACAACAAAGAACTAAACTACCAGTCAAGAGAAGGCCCAGTTGCAAGGTGCATTTCCCTTAAATGTTTCCCTTAAATGCCGTTGAAAACTAAAATTGCAATAGTCAACAACATTTCTTATTTTTTTTGCAGAAAAAAGCATGTCCACAAGTGGGCAGAAGTACATCTAATATGATATCTTCTTCTATGAATTATGATCTTGCTTCATCTACTATAATTGAGATTTTACAGGACCAAGTGAGAGCTTTTTATTTAAATGCAATGTTAATAAATGCAATGCCATCTGTTCTTCCAGAAATTCACCTACATTGCTAAATACATGTTTGGTTGGTTTGTAGGCTATAGCTACTCAACAATCTCAAACAGCAGTGCCAGCTCCTCTACCAGAAAGCCAGTTCATTGCAAACTGCAGAGATGCCCTGCCAGCTCCAAGAAGCCACACTACTGCTACACTAGGTTTGAAGAGAAGGAAGAAAGTGAAAAAAACTAAGGAGAACAAAGCCCCAACAACTCAGAAGTGAAGAGCTACAAAGATGTTATGGAAAGAAGCAGTGTAGGATGTTTTTCTTTTGCTTAGGAAACAAGGTGGTTTGTAATGAAACCTCATGCTAAGATGTGGCTTTGGGTTTCACACAAACCATGGAAATGTAATACTTTTGTTGCACAACTTCAAGACCTTGTAATGTTGGGTCCATCTATCTATCTTTCAGACTGCTTTGAAGTTCAGTTAGTAAAAGAATGGCCTTGCATATTACTGTTTACTTGTGTTGTCAATGCTAGTAAAAAAATGGTGCCAAAGTACAGAAAAACAACCAAAATGCTGCCAAATTTTAGTTCAATTTCATTGCAACAGTAAATCATCAATATCTGGATACACCAACAAGCATTGGTCACTGGATACATCATACTAACACATCACTTCTTAAATCCTACATACACCGCAACTACAATCAGTACAACAAGTGCACTGAGAATACTCCTACAGAGAAAAATGAGCTCATTCATCTTCTGCATTGCTTCTGCATATGCCACAGTCTCGACAGTGCTATGCATTGCTCCTGCACAAGCATCTTGCACCTCTGTTTCTTCACTTGCAATGACACCAGCCGAATCTAAACTGCTCAATCCACGGTTGACATACCCAGCTCTCACCAAAAAATCCAAATAGTTGTCTGGTCCATCTTCCCAATAGTAATGTTGGCAAGGATTTGGTTGAATCTGATAGAAATTGAGCAAAAAAAATTCAGTCAAAAAGAAACACGGAAACATCAAATCGATTGGGCACTTGTAAAAGATCTTACATGGTGATTGGGGCACTTGTAGAAAATCCTGCCAGGATTTGCCTTCGATTTTGACAAAAGACGAATTGTAGATTGAATGCGGCAGCTAGGGCATGGTACCAACGGCAGCATACCCGCGGCGGCCGGCGATGAGATGGGCGGCGAGAAAAGGGCTAATGCCGGAGGTGGAGCAGGCGCTTGGGCAGCCTTCTTCCCGCGGTGCTTCACGGCAGACGAGCTAGCGGCGGCGGACATGGCGGCGACGGTGCGGCGCCAGAGAGAGGAAGAGAGCAAGCAGAAGACCTAGGGACCGGGGAATGAAGAGAGGACAAACTCCAGGGGCCAAACTGCTTAAATTACCAACCTCCAACCGCGGGAACTATCCCGCGTGGGCCCTCGAGTCGACGTGGCAGCGGTCAAAGCGCCACGCGAGCTGGTCAGCGGCGGACAGACGAAATTAGGACCTCGGGTGAACAACTTAGAAAGATTTAGGACCCAGATGTGCATTTTGAGAAAATTAAGACTCAGTCAACACTTTTGGGAAAGAATTAGGACCGCGCTTGCATTTTACTCAATATCCAAAGACCTCACTCACTCACCAACGATCCCCAGCTGCCGCCGCCGGAGAAGACACACCTGCTCTGCCTCCTGCGGCTCCACGCGGATCTGCTGCACGCGCGGTGGTTACGCGGACCTGCCATTTCCTGCGGGCTGCGGCGGCGCGACAGAGGAGGAGCTGAGATCAGCTGTTGTGCGCGGAGGCGAGGAGGAGCTCAAATGCCGCTCCCGTAGGCGACGCCCCGGACTACGGGAGGAGGAGCCGAGCTGCTCCTCCGTCGCCGTCCGCGGCAAAGCTGCTGGGTGCATCTGCATCTGCAAGATTGAGCAGGGGTTCAGATCTGAGTGAACAGTGCATCCGTTCCGTCCATCTCAAAAGGTTTGTTTTTTCTTTCTTTCTTTCTTGTTCCTCCTTGAGTAATTGGAAAGTCTGCTAGCTGATTCTTGTAGGAAGTCTTGTAGCTATGCAGCTAACTGCTGAAAATCTGATTGCTGTATGCCATCAGAAGCCTTTTTGTTTGTCTCAATTCTTAAGCTATATGTTTACATGTGCAGATAATAAGATTAAAGAGTGAGGGTCAGTGTTCAGTAGATAATAAGATTAACACGTCAGGGTAAGTTTCCAACAGTTCAATAGTAAATGTATATTTCTTCAGTTGGTGAGGCAGTTCAAGGTTCAGCTGCTCTCTCTCCAGATCTGAATGAAACAGGGCATCCAGCCATCTCAAGGGTTAGTCTTGTAGTAGCTAATTAAGCTTCTTATTTGTTTTGTTTTTTTTACCTTTTTCTTGTCCCCCCTTCAGTAATTGGAAAGCAGATTATTGACTGCTAGCTGATTATTCTACTTGTTGTATTGTTATTGGTGTGCTTCCCGTTTGAAATTCTTAAGCTATATGCAGATGAGTAGACGGGCAATTCAGGGGAGCATTAAGATTAAAGCGCGAGGGTCCGTATTCAGTAGATAAGGTTAAACCGTTAAATGCTAAAGCTGTCCAATTGTAAAATTTAACTGTAGATTAAACTGCTATATATTTCTTTGGTTGCTGAGGCAGTTCAAGATTAGTTTGCAATAAATTGCTATTAATTAAGCTTCCAGCTTGTTTCCATTGTCTCTCCTGCTACCACTTAAATTTCACCTCACTTTTACTATTGCAGCAACAGCCGTCAAGTGCAATGGCGATGGTGCTGGATGCATTTGCATCCTACGTGGGACACATGCTCGCGCAGCTAGCAGCAGATGGTGTGGGGACGATGCTGGGCGTCTCCGGCGAGATCGACAAGATGGCCGACAAGCTCCGGGACCTCAAAAACTTCCTGGCTGATGCGGATAGGAGGAACATCACCGATGAGACCGTTCAAGAGTGGGTGGGACAGCTCAAGCGTGCCATGTATGAAGCTACCGACATCCTCGACCTCTGTCAGCTCAAGGCCATGGAGCGTGGATCATCTACTACTCTAGACGCAGGGTGTTTCAACCCCTTGCTCTTCTGCATGCGGAATCCCTCCCATGCTCATGAGATCGGCACCCGCATCAAAAAGCTCAACAAGAGGCTTGACTACATCAAGGAGCGAAGTGCTGCTTTCAACTTCGTCAATCTTGGATCCTACAAGGATCATAACAACAATGTCCATGGCTTTCGCCATGGTAATCCTAGCCAAGAGACGGTAGGGGACTTTGACCGGTCGGCTATCGTTGGAGACAAGATTGAAGAAGACACAAGAGCACTGGCGGCCCAAATCATGCAGACGGGAAAGGATGTCAACAATGGCATAATGGTGGTCGCTATCGTAGGTGTTGGTGGGATCGGCAAGACCACCCTCGCTCAGAAGGTCTTCAATGGCGAGGCAATCCAAGGTGAATTCAGCAAAAAGATATGGTTGAGCATCAACCAAAACTTCAGTGATGTTGATCTGCTGAGAAGGGCCATCATCGAAGCCGGAGGAGATGCCCAACCACCTGAAAGTGCAAAGACCAGCCTTCATGAGACCCTCAAGAACACATTGATTGACCACAAGACCTTTCTGGTAATGGATGATGTGTGGAACCATAGAGCATGGGATGACGTGCTGAAATTACCCTTAGTCAATGCTGCAGCTTCAGGCAGCCGAGTCCTCGTCACTACCAGAGATGAAGGTGTTGCCCGAGGGGTGAAAGCTATCTGGCCGTACCACCATGTCGACACATTAGCGGCTGAAGATGCCTGGTCATTGCTCAAGAAGCAGGTATGTTCTTAGTTAAATACCAATCTTTCAGTGAAATGAATAATCTATCTCCATCTACTTATTAACAGTACTATGTAATTAAGAGAAATGTTAGGATGCTCCCAAATTAATGAGCCATTAATTACATGTAATTTAGTGACTTCTTGGAGATATGGTACAACACTAATTGAGACACGTTCAAAGACACCTATATTTTGTTTAATCAAGCTTGAGAAATAATTAGAAATTTGGATAATTATATATGTATCATTTCTACCAGTGAAGAGACATGGGTCGTATATTCATGCAGTGAGTAACCTTTTGTGATATCCAGTCTAGTTTTCCAACATATGGGATGAAAATCTAAGTGCTCAGCTACTCAACAGTATAAATGAAAAGTTATTTTAAGACAGAAAAATAACAATTTCGGTGAACCCCTGCCAATACAACAAAAGAATATAACACGAAAATAACTAGAATAGAAGTTGGCAGTAATTTTACTAGAGAATGTTCCATCTTGCAGTTATTTTAAGACAGAAAAATAACAATTTCGGTGAACCCCTGCCAATACAACAGTATATTCTTCTTGCAGTATGTTCCATCTTGTAAAAAGAAAAGGAAAGAAAAATTGTTTTCTAGGCATAAAGTGTGTAAGTCACATGTGGAAGCCACTGCAGAAATCTTCGGTATGCAGAAATCTGTGGTATGATAAGTAAATAGATTAATCTGTGGTATGCAGAAATCTTTTTGGCATGTACTTCCTGTACTTTGAGTACTTATTACATAGTCAATCATACACTGATAAACTTGAGTGATCTAAAACATTTTATATTAGTTTACAAAGGAAGTAAAACTGAGTGCCTTAGAGGATCGGTCCCTTACTGTACGTTCACAGGTATGCTCAAGTGAGATAGATGAAGACCACATCAATACTCTAAAGGATATCGGACTGAAAATTATACAGAAATGTGGTTGTTTACCAATTGCTGTTAAAGTAATGGGAGGACTCTTGCGTGAAAGAGGGGGGCTACGTCGTGAGTGGCAGCAGGTTTTCGATGATTCTAAATGGTTAACAACTAAAATGCCCGCTGATCTCAACCAAACAGTATTCTTAAGCTATGAATATATGCCTTCTTACCTGAAGCAGTGCTTTTTATACTATTCTTTTCTTCCTAAAAGTAGAATTTTTGATATGGATCAAGTCGTGGCAATGTGGATAAGCGAAGGATTAATTCATGGAAACTCCAATGATTTAGAAGAATTGGGAAGAAATTACTACAAGGAGTTGGTATCTAGGAACATGATAGAGCCAGATAAATTGTATGCTGAATTATGTGTTTGCAACATGCATGATGTTGTTCGCTCATTTGCTCAGTATATGACTAAAGATGAAGCACTCATAGCTCAAGACGGAGATAATGATATTCTTGGTAAACTTGGTTCACAAAAGTTTCTTCGGTTGTCCATAGAAACTAACCGATCACAATCAGGTGAACTTGATTGGAAATCTCTACACGCGCAGCAATCATTGAGAACATTGATCTCAACTGTCCAGATTAAGATGATGCCTGGTGATTCATTGGTTACCTTTTCTAGTTTGCGGACTCTGCATATAGAATCTGCAGATATGGCTGTATTGGTTGAATCATTGTATCAACTCAAGCACCTGAGGTATCTTGCACTAGTAAATGCTGATATATCTGTACTTCCAGAGAACATTGGCAAGATGAAACTGTTGCAATTCCTTGTCCTTGTTGGATGTATAAAATTGGTGAATCTTCCTGATAGCATTGTGAAGCTTGGCCAGCTGAGGTTACTTTCACTTCCAGGAGCAAGTATGGTACCTAGAGGGTTCAGTGGTCTGACAAATATGAGGAGACTACATACATTTCGAGCCCACATGGATGGTGATTGGTGCAGTTTGGATGAGTTGGGGCCTCTTTCCCAACTCAGAGTTCTTGAATTAACTGAATTAGAGAATGTATCTGCTGCCTCATTTGCTGCTAATGCTAGGCTCAGTGAGAAGATGCATCTTATCAAGCTATTACTGGACTGCACCAGCAAACTTGGAGATGATGGGTTGGTCAAAGAGAAGGAAGGTGTCTCTGAGGAAGAGCAGCAACGAATTGAGAAGGTTCTCGATAAGCTCTGTCCTCCACATGGTGTAGAATTTCTTGCAGTCAATGGGTATTTTGGCCGGCAACTCCCGAGCTGGATGATGTCCACATCAATGGTGTCCCTCAACAACTTGAAGACTATATTTTTTCATGATCTGGCTTGTTGCACACAACTTCCCAATGGGTTGTGCCAGCTCCCCAATCTGCAATTTCTACAGGTCTCTCGTGCTCCATGCATCAAACATGTTGGGACTGGATTCGTGCAGGCAGCAGCAGCTTCATTTCCAAGGTTAAATGTATTGAAGTTGAACGGCATGGTGGAATGGGAGGAGTGGGAATGGGAGGAGCAAGTAAAAGCCATGCCCCGTTTGGAGGAGCTTGTGCTCTTTAATTGCAGACTAAGGCATATTCCTCCAGGCCTTGCCTCCAATGCAAGCTCTTTGAAAATATTAGTTCTACAGCATGTCAAGCAACTCAGCTACATTGAGAGCTTTTCTTCTGTTGTTGAGCTTGTAGTGACTGGCTGCCCTCACCTGGAGAGGATCACCAATCTCCCAAATCTGCAGAAGCTTAACATCATTAGCTGCCCGAAGTTGAAGGTGCTGGAGTGTATCGCTTCACTCGAGAGGCTGCTCCTGGAGGATTACAACATGGAAAAACTCCCAGAATACATGCGAGACATAAAGGCAAGGCATCTGCAGTTATTCTGCAGGCTATGGTTGCTCTCTGCGGTAGCCTCGGGACAATCTGGCACTGAGTGGGACAAGTTCAGCCAAGTGGATCATGTCAAGGCATATGCACGTGATGGAGCTAACCAAAGAAAATGGTACGTTTTGTACACGAGAGGAGACAACTGCAAGCTGGATTCCAATATTAATAGCTCTACCATATTTGAAGGTACAAAAAATCAAACATAGAAGCTGTGTTTTAATTTGTTTGAGCACTCTGATTCCACCAGTATATCCTGCTTTTCGTCCATATATACTGCATGATGAACGGATATTTTGTACCTTCCTAGTGCATGTTGCTAGGTGTTTGTCTTCTTGTTCTTCTAGGTGTTTGTCTAGAGTATCTTGTAACCAGTTCTGTATTTTTCTTGCCATGCAGAACCCTTATCATCTTGTATGATGGGCCCACAAGGATTCGAGTCTTTGTATAGAATGAGAAGAAGCACCTTCATTTATGTCTGCAGCTTGGTGAGGATCCCATTTTTGGAATATATGATGGCAAGGGATCACACCTTCACCTTTGTTGATGGGAGAGTGTTGTCTTTGCAAGATGGAGTAGCTGTCGCTCTGAGAATGCTGAACTCTGGTGAGTCGCTGGTTACCGTAGGATCCTCTCTTGGCATGAACGAGTCAACTGTCTCGCTGGTAACCCAGGTGTTTGTTGAGGCTATGTGGGACCGAGCAATGCACCACTGCAGCTGGCCTGGCCCCACTAAAATGGAGAAGATCAAGCACAAGTTTGACAAGATGCACGGCCTACCAAACTGTTCCGGTGTTGTACATACAGATCACATCACGTTTGGATCACATCATGATGTTGTGCTAGTGCAAGCTGTTGTTGATCCAGATATGAGGATCACGGAGCTTTGGTTGGATGGTGATCTCTTGGATTCCTTTGAGAAATATGCTTGGCTGAATGGTGGTAAGCTGAAGTTATCAGATGGCTCGGAGGTCGGGGAATACATCATTGGTGATGAAGGATACCCTCTTCGTCCATGGCTCCTCACACCTTACCAGTTAGAAAATGGTCTCCCACTCTCAGAGTCCAAAGGTGAGTTTAACAGGAGACACTCTGCAGCTACAGCGGTCGCGCCGAGGGCGTTGGCAAGGTTGAAAGACACATGGAAGTGCCTGCAGGGAGAAGGGTGGCATCCAAATAACAAACGTGTGATGAACCGGACAATCGGCGCATGCGGCATGTTGCATAACATAGTGATGGACTTGGAGGAGGACGAGGGTGCAAGCATGCCAAGCGGTCAGGAGTGGATTTACGTCGAGAAAGCGTGGAAGTTAGCAGAGGAGGATGCTGTCAGGGTGAGGGATGCACTGTCCCAGCACATGATCAGATCTGGAGGTAAAATAGCACTATTCTTAGTGTATTAAATCGAGACAACTCTTAGTGTGCTATTGACATTTTGTTTATTTGTTTCCTCGTATTGATTCCATGTTCGTTTGATCTGTTTGGACGTTAGTCCACACAATGGCTGCAGAGGAGGAACATGCAGAAGTTGCAGCAGTTGCATCTGGTTCAGGCAGGCAAATGCAGTGCAGGCCCCGGCAGTAGGTTGTCGTGTGTAAGGCGAAAAGACAAGTGTTGTGTAATTTATTTATATTATTGGCAACAAGCAAGATGTTATGAGATTGAGAGAACAACTAGTAATGTAGCGTAATTTATATTATTGCGTAATTTGGTTTCTTTCAGTTGCTTGCTGTAACGTAAAGGAACAATTTGTAAACATATATAATGGCAGTGAGTGAGTCCTGTTTTTGGGCAGGAGCTGTTTGTAGCAGTTGTAAGGATGTGTTGGCTACGCCTACCCTGGTTGGAGAAGAGCAGAGTGGGTAGTTGATCAACCAACCTCGGCATTCAATTCGGCATTCTAGTCAGGTAGCTCTGTTTCAGGTAGCACTATGTGTTGCAAATTTCGAAACTGGATTTGTAGCAGGAAGGGCACTAAAAATCTAAAGGGGGAGGAGGAGGAGGAGCGACAGTTAGTGGACAAGGACGCCGTCAGGGTGAGGGACGTACTGGCCAAGCACTTGATTGAATCTTCTAGAGGTAAATGAACACAGCTGTTAATGTGTTTGTTCACACTCTAGCTTTGCCTCTCTTTCTCCTTTTTCAATTCCCTGCTAATCTATTTGAGATGAACATGCTAATTTCACTTCACCCGCTTGGCTGCAGAGGAGGAAAAAGAAGCATCCAGTTCAGGAGATCAAAACAAGGAACAGGGTGGAAGCCGACCACAGACAGCAGCGGATCAGGGAAAGGAGAAAGTGCATGATAGCTAGCTAGCTTGGGAGGGCACTCTACTATTTTTTTCTCTGCTATTAATTAATTGTGATGCGAGTCGCAGTCCCGTTCCTTGTTCATTCTTTTGCTATGGCACTAGTTAACTTCAGTGGAAAATCTACCACCCCCTTGGTGATACGTTGAGTTAATTGCTCGGAAACAGAGTAGTGAGGTGAGCTGATAATACACCTGTTGGCAAAAGAAACTGACCAGCTGTATAACTTTTGAGTGCTCAGTATGCATGCACAGTCGTATATTTATACTAGTATCTCATCCACTTTAAATCTTGATGCATGTGAGCAGATGGATATTCATCTTGCTACTTGGTTACAAGTAAATCAAATCGTCCATATATTTGGTAAAGACAAGTGATGTGTGTTTTCAGGAGATAACAGTTAATGTTGTAGCTGCACTTGGACAGAGTAGTTTGTTTTGTTTGTTGGTTGTGTTAGAATATATAACCGTATTATTTTTGTATAGTCATACGGTTGTATATGTGTAGTCCTTGTATAGGTGTCCGTATATTGTACGATATGAACTCTGGCTTGTAACCTATATATATTGATCAATACAAGGCACCACAACGTGTGGTTTCCCTAATCTTACATGGTATCAAAGCCTAAAAACCTAACCCTAGCCCGTGCCGCCCTCCTCCTCCTTCCGCTGCCGCCGAAGCCACCACCTCCTCTCTCGCCGCCGCGCCCGCACCGCCGCATCCATGTCGCAGCCCGACGCCGACGCGACGAACCAGGCGCTGGCCGCTGCCAAGGAGCGCCAGGACGCCGAGGCCGCCAAGGCCAAGCTGCCTCTCGCGACCACCGCCGATGGATCCGGGACGAGCGCGGGGTCCTTCTCCTTGACCTCGCTGCACGCCCAGGCCGTCGGCCTCCACTCCATCGAAGGCCACGTTCCCGTCGAACTCGCGCTCGACACCGGTGTTCACCGGCAGTGGCGCACCTTCTTCCGCGCCGCCTGTCGCAAGTACGCCCTCCTGGATCACCTCGACTTCGATGCTCCCGATGCACGAACCCGGAGTGGTCTCTCCTTGACGCCACCGTCGTCTCTTGGCTCTATGGGTCTGTCTCGCTCAGTATCCTCGACGCCGTCATGACGCCCGGCGACGATCCCCTCGCCGTCGATCTCTGGAACAACATCAACGGTCTCTTCAACGACCATAAGATCAATCGTCAACTCCACCTCACGGCCGAGCTCGGCGATGTCAAGATGGGAGAGATGAGTATGGCCGACTATCTTCAGAAGGTCAAGTCCCTCTCTGATGGGCTTGCGGATCTTGGTGCCCCCGTTCATGATGCCGAGATGGTGGTCCACTGCCTCAACGGACTCTCCGAGCAATACGAGTCCGCCGCCGATCTGATCTCCCTCATGCCCGGTATGACCTTCGCGCAGTGCCGATCGTTGCTTGCGCTCCAAGACATGAAACGCAAAAACCGCCGCGCTCGCAACTCGGACACGACCCTCTTCACCAACACCGGCAACCCTGGCAAGGCTCCTGGAAAAGGAAAGAAGAAGAAGAAGGCCGCCGCTGGAGTCACCAAGGAGATCATCCCGGCGCCCGCGACCCCGCAGGCTGCCACTCCTTCCTGGCCCCCACCACAGCATCCCTCGAACGGCGCCATCCAGATGTGGCCCTATGGGCAAGGGGGGCTGCTCGGTCGCGTGCCGCCCGGCTACGCCCCTGCTCCCAGCTACGCGCCCCAGCACACCCCGTCGCCGCATGCGTTCTACGCCCAGAACCCGTACGGTCTTGCTCCCTACGGCTACGGCTACGCCTCTAGACAGCCCTCCTATGGTCTCACCGGCACGACTCCATCATCACCGGCATCAACTTCGGCTTCAGGGGACCAGGCCGCGCTCATGCATCAGTTCCAAACCATGGGGCTGCAAGCACCCTCCAGGGAGTGGGTGATGGACACCGGCGCCTCCTCCCACTTCGCGTCCGATCCCGGTATGCTCACCTCCGCATCTCCCCCCTCCTCCTCTCGTCGTGCTGTCGTTGTCGGTAACGGTTCCACTCTTCCAATCACCGGTACCGGGCATGCACGTCTTCCTATTTCCACCACCTCTCATCCTCTTTACCTTCGTAATGTCTTAGTTGTTCCTAACATAGTTAAAAACCTTTTGTCTGTTCGTCAGTTCACCATTGATAATCGTGTCTCCGTCGAATTTGACCCTCTTGGTTTTTCTGTGAAGGATCTTCTATCCAGGACCGAGATTCTCAGATGCAATAGCTTCGGAGCTCTCTACTCCATCCGCCCTTCCTCTACCAGCCAGCCACACGCCTTCCTCGTCGTCGATGCAGCACTCTGGCACCGTTGGCTTGGGCATCCTGGGCGGCCCGTCATGGAGTCATTAGCTCGTTCCTCGATTATCCCTAGGGAAAAGAATAAAAGTAGTTTGTGTCATGCTTGTTAGTTAGGTCGTTATGTCTGTCTTCCTTTTTCTTCCACCAATCGTGTAACCACTACTCCGTTTCAAATAATTCACTGTGACTTGTGGACATCTCCTGTTGAGAGTATTTCTGGCTTTAAGTATTATCTCGTTTGTCTCGATGATTTTACTCAGTATGCATGAGTTTACCCTCTACGGATTAAGTCCGAAGCTTTCTCGCACTTGTCGTGTTGGGTAACATAGCAGAAATTCAAAATTTTCCTACGTGTCACCAAGATCTATCTATGGAGATACTAGCAACGAGGGGAAGGAGAGTGCATCTACATACCCTTGTAGATCGCTAAGCGGAAGCGTTCAAGTGAACGGGGTTGATGGAGTCGTACTCGTCGTGATCCAAATCACCGATGACCAAGTGCCGAACGCACGGCACCTCCGCGTTCAACACACGTACAGCCCGGTGACGTCTCCCATGCCTTGATCCAGCAAGGAGAGAGGGAGAGGTTGAGGAAGACTCCATCCAGTAGCAGCACAACGGCGTGGTGGTGGTGGAGGAGCGTGGCAATCCTGCAGGACTTCTCCAAGCACCACGGGAGAGGAGAAGGACTTGGGAGAGGGGAGGGCTGCACCAAAGGCAAAGGTGTGTGTTGAGAGGCCCTCCTTCCCCACTATATATAGGGAGCCTAAGGGGGGGGAGGCGCCGGCCCTAGGAGATCCAATCTCCTAGGGGGGCGGCGGCCAAGGGAGCCTTGTGGGACTCTTCCTTTCTTGAAACCCTAGGCGCATGGGCCTCTTGGGGCTGGTGCCCTTGGCCCATGTAGGCCAAGGCGCAACCCCTACAGCCCATGTGCCCCCCCGGGGCAGGTGGCCCCACCCGGTGGACCCCCGGGACCCTTCCGGTGGTCCCGGTACAATACCGATGACCCCGAAACTTGTCCCAATGGCCGAAACATGATTTCCTATATATAAATCTTTACCTTCGGACCATTCCGTAACTCCTCGTGACATCCGGGATCTCATCCGGGACTCCGAATAACATTCAGTAACCACATACAAACTTCCTTTATAACCCTAGCGTCATCGAACCTTAAGTGTGTAGACCCTACGGGTTCGGGAACCATGCAGACATGACCGAGACATTCTCCAGTCAATAACCAACAGCGGGATCTGGATACCCATGTTGGCTCCCACATGTTCCACGATGATCTCATCGGATGAACCACGATGTCAAGGACTTAATCAATCCAGTATACAATTCCCTTTGTCTATCGGTACGATACTTGCCCGAGATTCGATCGTCGGTATCCCGATACCTTGTTCAATCTCGTTACCGGCAAGTCTCTTTACTCGTTCCGTAACACATCATCCCGTGATCAACTCCTTGATCACATTGTGCACATTATGATGATGTCCTACCGAGTGGGCCCAGAGATACCTCTCCGTTTACACGGAGTGACAAATCCCAGTCTCGATTCGTGCCAACCCAACAGACACTTTCGGAGATACCCGTAGTGTATCTTTATAGCCACCCAGTTACGTTGTGACGTTTGGCACACCCAAAGCACTCCTACGGTATCCGGGAGTTGCACAATCTCATGGTCTAAGGAAATGATACTTGACATTAGAAAAGCTTTAGCATACGAACTACACGATCTAGTGCTATGCTTAGGATTGGGTCTTGTCCATCACATCATTCTCCTAATGATGTGATCCCGTTATCAACGACATCCAATGTCCATGGTCAGGAAACCGTAACCATCTATTGATCAACGAGCTAGTCAACTAGATGCTTACTAGGGACATGGTGTTGTCTATGTATCCACACATATATTTGAGTTTCCTATCAATACAATTCTAGCATGGATAATAAACGATTATCATGAACAAGGAAATATAATAATAATAACTAATTTATTATTGCCTCTAGGGCATATTTCCAACAGTCTCCCACTTGCACTAGAGTCAATAATCTAGTTCACATCGTCATGTGATTAACACTCACAGGTCACATCGCCATGTGACCAACATCCAAAGAGTTTACTAGAGTCAATAATCTAGTTCACATCACTATGTGATTAACACTCAATGAATTCTGGGTTTGATCATGTTGCTTGTGAGAGAGGTTTTAGTCAACGGGTCTGAACCTTTCAGATCCGTGTGTGGTTTACAAATCTCTATGTCATCTCCTAGATGTAGCTACCACGTTCTATTTGGAGCTATTCCAAATAACTGTTCTACTTGGAGCTATTCTAAATTGTTGCTCCATTATACGTATCCGGTATCTCTACTCAGAGCTATCCGGATAGGTGTTAAGCTTGCATCGATGTAACTCTTTACGTCGAACTCTTTATCACCTCCATAATCGAGAAAATTCCTTAGTCCACTAGTTACTAAGGATAACTTTGACCGTTGTCCTGTGATCCATTCTTGGATCACTCTTGTACCCCTTGACTGACTCATGGCAAGGCACACTTCAGGTGCGGTACACAGCATAGCATACTGTAGAGCCTACGTCTTAAGCATAGGGGACGACCTTCGTCCTTTCTCTCTATTCTACCGTGGTCGAGCTTTAAGTCTTCACTTCATACCTTACAACTCAGGCAAGAACTCCTTCTTTGACTGATCCATCTTGGACACCTTCAAGATCATGTCAAGGTATGTGCTCATTTGAAAGTACCATTAAGCGTTTTGATCTATCCTTATAGATCTTGATGCTCAATGTTCAAGTAGCTTAATCCAGACTTTCCATTGAAAAACACTTTCCAAATAACCCTATATGCTTTCCAGAAATTCTACGTCATTTTGATCAACAATATGTCAACATATACTTATCAGAAATTCTATAGTGCTCCCACTCACTTCATTGGAAATACAAGTTTCTCATAAACTTTGTATAAACCCAAAATCTTTGATCATCTCATCAAAGCGTACATTCCAACTCCGAGATGCTTACTCCAGTCCTTAGAAGGATTACTGGAGCTTTGCATACTTATTAGCATCTTTCAGGATTGACAAAACCTTCCGGTGGTATCACATACAACCTTTCCTCAAGAAAATCATCGAGGAAACAATGTTTCGACATCCTATCTGCAAGATTTCATAAATAACGCAGTAATCGCTAATATAATTCCAACAGACTCTTAGCATCGCTACGAGTGAGAAAGCCTCACCGTAGTCAACTCCTTGAACTTGTCGGAAAACATCTTAGCGACAAGTCGAGCTTTCTTAATGGTGATACTTACCATCATTGTCCGTCTTCCTTTTAAAATCCATCTGTACTCAACAGCCTTACGACCATCGAGCTGTTCCGCCAAAGTCTACACTTTGTTTCCATACATGGATCCTCTCTCGGATTTTATGGCCTCGAGCCATTTATCGGAATCCGGGCCCACCATCGCTTCTCCATGGCTCGTAGGTTCATTGTTGTCTAGCAACATGACTTCCAAGATAGGATTACGTACCACTCTGAAGTAGTACGCATCCTTGTCATCCTACGAGGTTTGGGAGTGACTTGATCCGAAGTCTCATGATCAATATCATAAGCTTCCACTTCAATTGGTGTAGGTGCCACAGGAACAACTCTTTGTGCCCTGCTATACACTAGTTGAAGTGACGGTTCAATAACCTCATCAAGTCTCCACCATCCTCCCACTCAATTCCTTCGAGAGAAACTTTTTCTCGAGAAAGGACCCGATTCTAGAAACAATCCCTTATTGCTTTCGGATCTGAGACAGGAGGTATACCCACCTGTTTTGGGTGTCCTATGAAGATGCATTTATCCGCTTTGGACCATCTGAGTCTTCAGTACCTCACGTTCACTCGGCCGGACATCTCTTATGCTGTGCAGCAGATTTGTCTTCATATGCATGATCCTCGGGCTAATCATTTGCTCCTTGTGAAGCGTGTGCTTCGCTATATCCGCGGCACCACCGGCCATGGCCTCACTTTGTTTCGACGCAGCTCCAACAAATTGCTGGCCTATTCTGACGCTAGTTGGGCAGGTTTCCCTGACACTCGCCGGTCTACCTCAGGTTATTGTGTCTTTCTTGGCACTAACCTGGTGTCGTGGTCTGCTAAGCGGCAGCACACGGTCTCTCGCTCCAGCGCCGAGGCCGAATACAGGGCAGTTGCAAATGTCGTGGCTGAAACATGTTGGTTACGGCAGCTTCTTCTGGAGCTTCATCGACCGGTGACTGGTGCCACCGTGGTGTTTTGTGACAATGTGAGCTCTGTTTACATGACACAGAATCCCGTTCATCATCAGCGCAACAAGCATGTGGAGATCGATTTACACTTTGTGCGAGACCGTGTCACCACAGGAGAGGTCCGGGTTCTTCACGTTCCAAGTTCTTCTCAATTTGCGGACATTTTCACCAAAGGATTGCCATCTCCTCTCTTTTTGGATTTTCGGGACAGTCTTAACATTCGTCGACGCCCGTTTACGACTGAGGGAGGGTGTTAGAATATATAACCGTATTGTTTTTGTATAGTTATACGGTTGTATATGTGTAGTCCTTGTATAGGTGTCCGTATATTGTACGATACGAACTCTGCCTTGTAACCTATATATATTGATCAATACAAGGTACCACAACGCGTGGTTTCCCTAATCTTACAGGTTGCTGTAACCTCAAGGAAGAATTTTTAAACAGAACGGCGGTGAGGGAGCCTTGCATGCTGTTTATGTTACTGCCACTAAACTGCGATGCTGTGGCTGCATGGAGACTGAAGAATTAACAGGGTCGTAGCAGGTTAGTCTTGTCTCCATGTGTTATACACAATAGATGTACCGTCTGGGCATGATTCATGTGCATTGTGGATGGATATGTCACTGTAATGCTTAGGTTGCCAAGTTTTACGGTTGGATCATATACGGATGTGCACTGAATGTATGTTCAGGTTACACCGATGGAACTCTGGTAGATTCAGAGGAAAAGAATGCTCGTCCATGAAGCCTCAACTGTGTAATGGTGCCATAGACAGATGGCCCTCGTCGGTCCCACTCTCCATGATGCAAACTCGTTGGCATGACCTTCCTTCAACTCACATTGCGTTGCCATGACCTCACAAGAAACAAGAGAGCAGAGTTGAAGTTGCCTGCCTGTTTACTTGCAGCTACTCTTGTACAAAAATTTGTAGCAGCCATCTTGAGTTCATGGTCCTCTCCAGCCTGAATCCTGTAGTAGCACTACCCAATGTTTCACTTGTACTGGCTCAAAGGTGCTAGACTAACTCTACTCTACATGGGAAGTGAAAAATCTGGATATGCTGTGAGAAAACATTTAAGAGTATGTTGCAAACACGATGAGAGGTGAGCAGGTCTTGTATATTATCTATGCATGACAGGTGTTCGGGCATGCTTCATTCATTGCAGAGAACAACTAGTAATGTAGGTACATGGAGACGAAAGACACTGTAATTTATATTGTTTCAGTTGCTTGCTGTAACATAAAGGAAGAACTTGTGAACATAATGGCAGTGAGAGAGTCTTGTTTTTGGGCAGGAGCCGTTTGTAGCAGTTGTAAGGATGTGTTGGCTACGCCTACTCTGCTTGGAGAAGAGCAGAGTGGGTAGTTTATCAACCAACTTGGGCATTCTAGTCAGGTAGCAGGATTATGTCTGGTAAATTCAGAATCAGGTTGCTCATTCAGAAGAGAGCAGAGATTCGGTTGAGAGGGAAGAGATTCAGTTGATTAATCTAACGATTTGCCCATTCTGCAACTCCAACTGTTAATTAACTCAACGAGCGAGGTAAGATTAGCAAGCTCATGACTAGGCCGACTCTGCTCTGCAGTCTCTACAATACTAATAGTTTTCAGACGATCCGCGTTAATTGTGACTAACAAAAAATCCACGACAGTAAGCTTTATCTCTGGCTAATACGAGTGTTTTGTTTTGTATTCTATAGTATTATTGGCAACAAGCTTTTACGCGTCGGGAGAACAATTAGTAATGTAGCCGCATGGAGAATAAAGACTATATGTGTTCTTTGGGTTGCTTGCTGTAACGTATTCAGAATACACGTAGCTAGAAGGAATGAATGTGCTAAGCAAAGCATTACTGCTTATTTGCAACTAGTAATTCAATTAGGACGCGTGATCTGGACAATTAAGTTACCAGCTGCTGTGATGTGTGCATGCAAAGTGAAAAAATCTGATACTTTGAACCCATGTGCATTAGCTCTGCGAAGCTGAGAACATCTGCGAGAACAAATCTCCACCAACAGCTGAGAAGAATATAAATGTAAAAGCTACAAGGAGGAGTAGAACATCCAAGGACAAAGCAACGATCCAGAAGAAACTGCAAAGTTCAGGCACGATGGTACATGGAGGAGATCACCAATTCAGACGTAGTACATCAAAGCACACAACAGGTAGAGCTGAGGATAGCAAAACACCACTAACAATACACGATTTATTGCAGAAGGGGGAGCTGAACTGCATCATGAGAGCTTGAGAGGCTCATTCCACCTAGTGACAGGCAGTGGAGACAAGGTGCGGTCTCTCCAGGCCTCCTGTTTAAAATAGATGAATAAAGAAATCTTCTGTAGAAATAATGAAAGCAACTTCTGGATTCATAAGATACTTGAAAGATGAATAATTTGTGAAATAAAAAGAAGTAAAAAGTTATCTCTTTGAGCGTGAGCAGGCGAGTTCTTTACCTTTCCTAGTTGCAAATCTGGATGAAATTAACGAAAATCTTTTCTGCGGATATGCTCAATCTTTGGCCAGCTTTCTCCATCAGGTGATCGGCAGCTCTCCCTCAATAGGTCAGAATCCTCGATCACTATCTGTTGGAGAGAGGATGGCAAATCTGGTAAAGATGATATATTGGGGCATCCACAAATTTGGAGTAACGTCAGACATGAAAAGCACTTCAGATTTCCTGGCAAGGAACTGATTTCACAACAATTAAATAGCAGGTTGTTGACAGATGAGAAATCTGCTGATTCTTCAAATGAAAAGGACCCCTCCTTGCACCCCTCAAGATAGATATTTCGTGGAACTGTAAAACCTTCAGCTGAGAGCATGTGGTTGAGCATTATGGGGCAGCTAACACTGAGTGAAGTCGCGACCCGTAATTGTGAGATGCACTTTATATTGAGGTTCGGGACATCTTCAAAAGTTGCTCTGTCAAGTTGCAGCAAAGACAAGCCTTCAAGAAAGCACAAGTCGTGTAAATTGTGTAGTGATAATATTTCAAGGGAGGTTAAATGACCAATCGAAAATGATGAAGAGCTTGTGCAGAAGATCATGAAAAGACGTTTCAGGTGCGGCAAGTAACTCACGAAGGAATCAGCTGCAACCACACAGTATCGGATGTCGAGCTTCTCAAGGGACAATGGCATAAAATCTGATCCACGTGCCAATTCTAAGGAAGGGCAGCTGTATAGTGAAATTTCAGAAAGACCGGTGGCAGCTCGCAACCCCCCTAATGATCTAAGGCACCAGCATGAGTCAATGCACAAGTACTGAAGCTTTGTCACCTGTTGGAGGACATCTTGTGACGGAAGTGTAGTTAAAGTCATAATCTCTTTTAATGACAAATGTGTTAGCGAAGTGAGACCATCAAGACAAACCGCTAATGCCCCATTTGTAATGATGCATGAAGAAAGATCAAGCCGAGAAAGCCCTGATGGTGGAACCAGAGGCATGCCGATGTTCCTTGTACAAATGAGTCGTATCCTCTCCTCATGGCAACATATCCATGCCTTGATGATATCCTCTTTTACCAATACTTCATCCACCCCCCTTTCTAGAGCACTTTCAATGGTTTGAAGATGAGAAATATTAGCATCCATCAATATCATCAAGCACTTCAGAGATGAATGCTCTGACAATAGTATGTCCCTGATGTTTGATCCCGTATCCACCTCCCACATGGAAGAAAGCCGTGATATCAAGCTGTATGTCATCATGGTGTTCTCCCTCTGGTCATGCTGTTTTAGCTCATTGTCAGAAATAGACATAAGCAGCATGCATTTCTCAATTGCTAACTTTTCCAGGGTGGCTGGAAAATAAGGTAATGCCTTCAGGTTTGGGACATTCTCGAGGTGAAGTGAGGAGCAATTCCGAAGGAGAGCAGCATTGGATGGTAGGATTTCTAAGGCGCTGCAATTAACAAGCGCAAGTGATTCCAAATTCTGGAAATAAGAATCCTCAAGTAACCAGCTTGGGTATTTTGCATATCTGTAACCTTTGATAGTAAAGCCCCTAATCTGAGGCGGTGGCATCAAACCTTCCAGAGTTTCCAAATGTAAACTATCATGTGAAGTCATGCCATCGCTATAACTCCATTCAAGGTGCAAGCTCTCAAGATGAATTTTCTGATGTAGCTTTGCTTCTAAGGCTTGATCCTTCCCAGTGACATTCTCAAGATTTGTGACACTTAAACTGCCACCAAGGTTGTTCATGCCTTTCAGTTGTCGCACCTCATAGCCCCTCTGCTTTTTCACGCAAAATTGATCAAGATTTTGGAGTGAAATTAACTTGCCTATGTAAGGGATTTCTCCACGCCCTTCAAGATATCTCAACTTACTTAAACTGAATAGTTTTTCAGGAAAAGTTTCAACCTGGGGACTGAACTGAAGGTATTGCAAGTGGTAAAGAGCACACAATGATCCAGGCAATTTGGAGATTGAAGTTCTTTTGAGGTTCAAGTACCGAAGGTGCTTCAATTCACCAACAGATTCAGGCAGGTTGCTGGTGTTGTAAAAGTACAAATAGAGTACACGCAACCTCTTCAAATTCTGCACCACCTGCTGGAAAATGTATCTTGCATCATCTGTAAGTGGCTCAATGCAGATAAAGGTACGTAAATGATGTAGCCTGCAGATAGAATGCTGATGTTGATTCAAACTCTGAACACAAACGGATAGATGTCGAACAGTGCACGGTATTGATGCCACCTTATCATCTTCTAATCTGAAGAAGACTTTTTTAGACAGAGACTCTGCCAAATCATGAACGAGATCATGCATAACACAGTATTTCCCAACTGTGCCATTTCTGCAAACTGGTTGAAAGAATGAAACTGAGAGCATCTCACCAAAGCAATCACTCCCAATATCTTCCACTCTCTTGTTCACATTGCACGAATCAATAAGTCCCTCTGCTACCCACATGTTAACCAAATCCTTACTGGAATAAAGGTGGCCTTTTGGAAATAAACTGCAATACAGAAAACACCTCTGCAGACTTGGATCTAACTTCTCGTAACTCCACAGAAGTGCACTACTGGGATTGCTTAAGTTGTCAGTCCTTAGAGCATCTTCCCATACAGCCTTATCTTTTTTCCTGCTCAGCTGCGAGCCCACAGTTTTTGCTGCCAGAGGACATCTTCCAAGTCTTTTAGCAAGCTTCTCTGCTATAGTTTCTAGCTGTTGACGCAACCTCTGGTCTCTGATCGCTGCGCCACAAAAGGCATGGTCCTTGAAGATTGCTAAGATATCAGTATCTTCCATGTCTTTCAAACGAATAATTTCATTACAGCAAAGAGGAGCTGGGAGTATATCTGATCGAGAAGTTACCAAAACTTTGCTTCCCGCCTGTTGAGATACTAGAGGAGACAATAGTTTCTCCCACTCCATCTCATTGGTGCCTTCTTCAAACCAGACATCGTCCAACACAAGAAGGTATCTCTTTGATTTCTCCAGTATGTCCCTTAATATGCATTGGAGAGTATCAAGATTATCAACAGATGGACATTGCCCTCCTTTTGCTGATTCAATAACCAACCGTGTATGGCCACTGACATCAAGTCTGCGTGAGATGCAGACCCACATCCTGACTTCAAAATGTTCTTTGACCCTCTTGTCATTGTAAACATGTTGAGCCAAGGTGGATTTTCCCATGCCTCCAAGCCCAACAATGGCTAGACCAGAATACCTACTTGCATCAGACTCAGCAACAATCGGTTTGGTAAGAAGATCTATAATATCATCACGATCCTTGTCACGACCGATCACTTTCGGAGGTGCAAACGATGTGTCAAGTGGAATAACAGCTGCCAGTTTTGTGGATGCCTCAGCACTGTTACCAGCAGGTAAGCAGAGCAGTTCACGGAAGTCCTTGGCTTTCGCCAGGATGGCCTTCAGTTCCTTCAACTGGTCAAGCAACCGTTTGTTCTTTGGGCGCAGATTGGAAAGCCTGCTCGACGCAATACGCAGATGCTTCATAATACCATTGCTGGAAGATGCATGCTCCAGTGAAGAGTCCTTCCCACTCTCTGCTTTGCGCTTGAGGATGTTGTACTCATGCTCATCCAGTAGGTCCTCAGCTCTACAGAAGGCGTCCTTGAGCTGTTGGGTCCACTTCTCCAACATTGCCCTATGTGGGCCCTTGTTAGCTGCTTCAGCCAGTAGAGCAAACTGCGGCATGATGTTTGTCTCCAGTTCATTGAGCTCACTCACCATGTCCACACCGAGACATCTTGCAGGGTCAGCTAGGAGCTTCTTCAGGAACGGTGATACCACAAAGTCTAGGCCAGCCCGTGCGCCAGCCAGAGCCAGCGCCACTTCCGCCATGGAAAGCACACCGTGGGTATAGGGGAGGATGTATCTCTCTTTGTTTTGTTTCTTGGAAGTAGAAAGACACGGTGGGAAAATTGGGATTGTTTTAGGAATGAAAATAGGGAGTATAACAGAGCAAAGATGGGAAATAGGTAAAATTACTCTAAAGGGAGGTTTTTTTGTGTGTATTCACAGAATCATCTATTTGGTTGGTGGAGGAGATGAAAATATGTATCTGGAGGGGAAAACGAGACGGAATGGATGGGTAAAGACACTAAACAGAATGGATGAACATGGAGAAGTAGAGAATAGCCAACGGGAGCCTGAGCTCTAATGATGGCCCCTGGAGTGGAAATCAAAGGTTTTTGATAGTAATAGTTGAAAAACCTGCACGAGTAGAAAACAGGGAAATAAATCAGAGAGCTGCATCATACAACATACTGTAAACATTCTTCTTCTTCTTCTTGCCTTTGTGCAAGTGGATGTATTTGAAGAAGAATACTAACAGGGACAAGAAAGAAAACAAAGGACAGCCAGCTTACACAGATGAAGAGGTGCAGGCAGTGAGCGATTGCTAAAGCCGGTGTGGTGATGAAGGGGATTGGGAGATTGTGGGAGAGGAGAATCGGAGGCAGCACTAGACCGTAAGAAAATGGCTCTCCAATGGGGGTCAACAAGACATGAATGGATCTGAACCAGCCACTCGCATTTTTTAATCTAAGCCGAGCCCAACTTGCTGAAAAACTAACAGGTACCCACTATCTGTAGCGCACTCACTAATCAAATGATGATTAAAATACATGAAGCGGCCGCCTAAGCTGTAGTTAATAAGAAGCAAGTGCCCATACGCTCATGTTTCTTAACAATGAAATGGTAGGTCATCTTACCTGCTTCTCTTTATCTATTTGTTTCTCTCTTTTCTATTACTATCGCTGGCCCTTTGTGATTTCCAGGAGCCATCGCTCCAGTTCTGAAAATGATGATCTCATATGCCTTCAATTTACAGGATATACTTATATGGCAATTGACAATTGCAAATGGGTAATATGATGTGCATTAGAGGAACAACAATTACGACAGAATATGGCATTGTGAAACACAGAGGAAATGGGGGATAAGACAAACTGTAGCAGTTTAGGTCTGAAGTTAGGTCACCTTACCTGCTTCTCCTTCTTTCTTTGTCATCACCATCACTGGCCTTTCATGGTTTCCAAGTCGAAGAACAAACTGGAGCAGGTAGGCTACATCCCTGCATGAAAGGCCTCAAGGCATAATCAGAAGTAAACATAGGTTAACCAACACGTCTTATCCTCTTCTAGGAGCCCTCCTAGGTAGCCCAATTGAGTTGCCTAAGACAAACTGCAGCACCAACCTCTGCATCTTATCTGCTAAGGGCCCGTTGAAGGAAGGCACCCTCCATCCAGTCCAGGGGCAGGAATAGGATGGAGCTCACCTCACCCCTGCTAAGGGCGACTGAATCCTCACTTGATCTGACCTCACCATAACTGCCGTCTCCTCGTCGCGGCCTTGGCAGATCTCAGAGATGGGGGTGGGGGTGGGGGTGCGTGGCGGCGGAGAAGTTGAGGCCCGGCCGGCGAGGGGACACGGCCCCGCGTCGAGCACACCAGCGCGAGCCACCCGCCATCTCCATGCCCGGTCGCCGAGGAGGCGCAGTGGTCACACAGGGACTGATTTGATTTTGTGTGCACGCAAACAAAACAAATGAAATGAAAGATGAACTTTTTTTTGAAATATATGAAATTTTGGAGTTGAATTTCTGCGGAACATATATATCCTGACGTTTTGTTTTGAATAAAAAAACAATTTCTCTACTGGTATTCTCATCACATCACAGACTCTTCTCGCTGGCAATATAAGATTGTTCACGCAAGGTCACTCCACGAGGGCCTAATCCTATCGCCGCCACCACCTCAGGGTGGGTGGGTACTCGTGGTACCTCAGAGGGATGCGGGCGAGGCTCCGGGAGAAAGCTCCGTGCTCCGGCGTCAGTGGCCGCAATCCTTCCTCTTGGGAGCATTTGTATGGCCCCTCTCTCTGTACCATGGCTCTGGATAAAACCCCTGGACCGTCTCTTTGGTATCAACAACGCAGGGCCGGTCCTGAGTTTTTGGGGGCCCGGGGCGAACCTAAAACTCGGGGCCCTTAATATACACATCATAGTAACATCAATGAATATACTTATATATAGCGTTACAAATAACATTTAACATTTAAATGCATCCAAAATAAGTATGATTATCCAGTAATTTATACTCTGAAATTACCTTAAAAAAATCTTCTAACACTCCTTGATGCAAAGTCACTTATGATGGGGTCGATGTCAATCTCATCCATTAATTTCTTCTCCATGCATAATGTAGCCAAACCATTTAATCTCTCTTGAGTTATTGTTGATCTCAAATAATTCTTCAATTATTTCAACTTCGAAAAGCTTTTTTTGGCCGATGTGGCCGTCACAGGGACAGTAAATAAGATGCAATAAGCAAATATATTGGTATAACTTCGAAAAGCTTCTTTCGGCCGATGAGTACTTCTCTCATATGCCCGAAAATTTCATCAACAGTAGCAAATTGTGCCTATGCATCTGATGAATTACCGAGCAACTTACTTTGTTCTCGCTGATGTTGGTCTCGACATTTTCTTCTTCCGAATTCCCATTAGTCTGTTGCTCTTCCCGAATGGCAACGATCACCTACTAGTCATCTGGGTTTATCAAAGCAGTGGAAGCACCAATATCACTCTTCTTGAAAAATTGTGAATATGTGTGCGCTCTGATTGTATCAATTTATCCACTTCCTTCTTCCTTTTTCTTTTATGGCTACCAGATGAATTTGTTCAGTTGCTAGACGACATGATTAACACACACAATGCTGAAAACAAAACAGTTTGTTGCATCAATGATCAATATTTGAACGGTGCCGGCTATGCAACCATAGAATTTATTGTATCAACATTATATGAATATATACCTCGGTTCGTGAATCCTGACGATCGAACTTCAGTGCGTTTGCCTATAAAGCACGGCAGCAGTGTAGCGCTTGGAGTCTGCAGAGGATTGAGAGAAGATCAACTGAGCAAAGGCCAAAGGGGCGTGATGATGGATCCCCAGAATTGAAATCTGCCGCGTACATAACCGGATTATTAAGGAAATTACCAGGGGACGACTGAGAGGCTGAAATACATGTACGGCATCGAGCGTCGGCGGCCTAGGGCTGCGTCTGCGTGATGGAACAGAATAGGAAGGGAACCGTCAGAATCGGATCAATCGCTGATCCTTTTTTCACGCGATCCCTCTCCTTTTTTATGTGAACGAACCGCTGGCTGCCTCGCTCGCTAGCTTTTCCGAGGAAACAAATCGATCGATCGACCTGCTGCTCCCTACGCGCGTCTGCAGCATGGGCCATAGGGGGCCCCTGAATTTTGGGGGCCCGGGGCGGCCGCCCCCCTGCCCCTCCCCAGGGCCGGCCCTGTATCAACAACGATGATGTGATACGTCGCCACACTCTTCATGGTGTTGTCGGGGAGCCCAGGTTTAATTAGCCGGGCAATTCTCTTTGTAATTATGACATGAGGCAAAACTTTACCTTCATTTTATAAAAAAATTCAAACAGGGATTCCATTCAAAGGGAACCACTCGTAAATATTAATTAACTTGATTAATCAATCCGCGGGAGCTATATCTCGCATTCAGCAAGATGTACGGATCTCTCATTGAAGCGTTGAGTAATTGGGGCGCCCGGGGGATCGAACTTGGGATCTCATGGTTGCTTCGTCACCCTGATAGCTATTGAGCCAAGATTGAGTTCATGTTAAATTAGAATGAAAATAGCTGGTTTTTACACTGGTTTTGTGTTTTTTTCTTTTTCATTGGGTTTTCTTCATTTCTTTTTCCCTGTTAAAGTTTTTTCTCTCTTCTTTCTTCATGTTTATTCTGTTTTATCTGGTTTTTCCTTTCCTTCTTTTTGTTTTGTTTTGTTATATCTTCTCCATTTTTTGTTTATTGTTTTCGCTTTTCAATGTTTCTATCAATTTTTCTCTCTTTTTTTGCATTTGTTTTTTTGGATTTATTTTACATTTTCCTTTTTCTTTGGTTTATTTTGTTTATTTGTCGATTTTTATTTTTTGGTTTTCTTTGTTTCTTTTGTTTTTCATTCTACATTTTTTATACAGGTGAATAATGTTTTTCTAATACACGTTTAACAATTTTTCCAATACAAATCTAACTTGTCTAACACAAGTTCAACATTTTTTCTATACACATTTTTTATATTTTCCAAATGCTTGATTAACATTTTTTAAACACAATATTAACATTTTTTCATACATGATCAACATTTTCCTATGCACACTTTTAAAAAATTTCAAATGCTTGAATAACATTCTTCAAATACAAGATTAAGATTTTCTAAGACATGGTCAACATTTTTCCTATGCACACTTAACATTTTTGCAGCGCTTGATTAACATTTTTTAAATGCAATATTTAACATTTTTTAACAGATTTAACAATTTCAAATACTTGTTCAACATTTTACCAAATGTTCAATTAATATTTTTATATACACGATCAAAATTTTCCATCATTTTTTAATATATGGCCAACATTTTTTCTATACACATTTAATATTTTTGAAATGCTTGATTAACATGTTTTCAAATGCTTGATTTACATTTTTCGAACAGTTGTTCAATATTTTTTCAAATGTTTGATTAACATTTTTTAAACACATGATAAAAAAGTTTCATACACATTTTTTGTATACATTTTTCGTATACGTGATAAACATTTTCTCTATACATATTTAAAAAATTTCAAATGTTTTATGTAGAGTGAGTTATCAAATATATTTATTTACAACATTTGAAAGTCTTATTTAAAAAATATTTACATAACTCCTTCAGTCCTGCTCTCCTACAAACTCTCATCTAGGGTTTCCTTGTCTCTTGCCGGCGCCGGTCTGTCTCGTCTCCTATAGTCCTTGGACCATGCAGGC